CTGGTGCTGAGTTGGAAGGTAAGGAAGTTTTGGATGTTGTAAAAGATGCCCTTGCCCTCTTCGATCGCATTGAGGATGGTCGCAAAGTTGTCATCTGTCAGAATCATGTCTGCGGCCTCTTTGGCGACATCCGTGCCCAGTCGACCCATGGAGATACCGATATCTGCTTTCTTGAGTGCAGGCGCGTCGTTGACACCATCACCAGTCATTGCCACAACATCGCCTCGTGATTGTAGTGCTCGGACAATCTTCATCTTGTGCTCAGGACTAGTTCGCGCAAAGATCGAGGTTGTCGAAATAGCCTGGGCAAGCTCTTCCTCGCTCATGTGATCCAGTTCGTCACCACGAATGACTGAGCGTCCAAGTGCTGAGTTTGGCATAATTGGCATACCCAGACTCTTGCCGATGGCGACTGCTGTGGTCTCTGCATCTCCTGTGATCATGATAACCTTGACTTTGCCGGCCATGAGTCTCCGAATGGCTCTCTCTACACCCTTACGCGGCGGATCGTTCATGCCAACCAAGCCAGCGAACGCAAGACCACGGTACTGTTCATCATCACCAAGCGCCGAGCTGGTGGATGGTGCAGGTGAGGCTGTACCACTGGCATTCCTCTTTTTCATTTTGGATGCACCGCTTGCGAAGCCGAGCACACGTAAGCCTTCTTGCGCCATTGCATCGGCGGCCTTCATCGCTTCTTGCTTGCGTGCTTGATCCAGTGCCACCTCTTTCCCTTGTGCCGTTACATACGTATCACAGCGGTCCAGAACCCGTTCCAGTGCGCCTTTGATGTATGCGTGTTCAGATCCAGGGGTGAGGTTGCCAGAATTACCGCCAACGACGACCCCCATCCACTTCCTCTCGGAGCTGAACGGTGTCTCGAACTTGCGTTCGCCGAGTCTTTCCCGGATGTCGTCTTCCCCAAAAGCGTCCATTAGGTCTAAGAGCGCGACATCGGTGGGTTGACCGACCCATCGGCTCTTGGCAGCTGTATTGTCGTCGCCTCCTAGAGTCGAAGAAAGTACCGCTGCCGTGGACGCCGAGGCTGCCTGGTCGCTCAACAAGCGGGCATTGTTGACAATGTTGCCAATTCGTAGTATGTTGCGGGTCGGCGAATCGAGGTCCGTGGAGTCGTGCTTCGTTTTCACGTCAATCGGTGCTGCTTCGTCAAAATGCCATATTTTCGTAACGGTCATATGGTTCGTGGTCAACGTGCCTGGTCCAAGTCAGTAAATGTCGCATGCGCGAAGAATGGTTGACTCACCCGTCTTGTCAGTACACACGACATTGACAGAAGCCAGCGTCTCAACACTAGGTAGCCGTCGAACAATGGCGTCGCGTTTGGACATCCTCAGCACACCCAGCGCAAGCGTGACAGTGACAATAATCGGCAGTCCTTCGGGGATAGCGGCAACAGCGAGTGAGACGGCGATCTGGAAGACCTCAATGAACTTCCAACCGCGCCACAGCCCTACCAGACCAATCAAGGCAATGACTCCAAAAGACATGTAACTCAGATCCTTGCCCAGACGGTCCATGGAAAGTTGTAGAGGCGTCCGCGGGCTTTCGATCTGTTGTAGAGATGCAGAAATGGCACCAAACTCCGTGTTGCCTCCTGTACCGACGACGATTCCTTGTCCGTAACCCGATCTAACCAATGTACCCATGAAAGCAATGTTCTTCTGATCATTCAGTCGTATATCAGCGCCGACCGTTCCTGCGGCTTCGGACGCGTAGAAAGGTGAAGATGGCCGTTGTAAGCCCGGCGGGGGTGTGATGGTGTCTGGCGACTTGGAGACAGGCTCGTTCTCTCCGGTGAGGTTCGACTCGTCGATGCTGAGGTCTGCCGCGTGCGTGATGCGAATGTCGGCGGGTATGCGGTCTCCAGTGTGGAAGAGGACGAGGTCGCCAGGTACCAACAACGTCGCCGATATGGTAGTAGACTTCCGCTCCGCAGCTGACAAGGCCGAAGTGGTGTCCTTCAGATTCTCCAACTCGACGTCGTCAGTTGCCGTGCCATTCGGTATGCGACTGTTCCGCGGTTGCTCGACCCCAGCGCGAATGATGTGTGCCGAATGCGGAACCAGCTGGTTCAGCGCCTCAATTGACTTCTCCGAGCGGTATTCCTGCACGAAGCCCACTGTCACCACGATGGTTACAGCCACAGCAATGCTCACAGCATCATCCAAGTTGCCCAGTATGAGGGATACAGCAGCGGACCCGAGCAGCAGCAAGATCAGCGTCTCCTTGAATTGCTTGAGGAAGCGGAGCCAGAGCGGTTCGGGCTCTTCGTGGGGGAGTTCGTTGAGGCCGTGAGTGTGGATGCGCGCCGAGGCGTCCGAGGCAGAGAGGCCATGTGTAATCGACGTGGAGAGCTTCTGGGCCGTGTCCTGTGCCGAGAGGAGGGAATGGGCGGATGTTATTGACTATTCACACGTGTCAGCGGCGTGTCCAAAACTCCGGAGCGCATGGCGTACTGAGGGCGTGGTGCTGCGCTGGATGGCTTCTGGCGGCTGCAGCATGGGCGAAGAGGGCCGCGAAGACTTGGAGGGCAGGCCCGCGGCATTGTAGAGGGGCAATGAGGACGTGGATGCTTTTGACATGTTGGCATGGCCAGGAGTCGACTGTTGCGCCGCGGTCCAACGTGGCCTATCCGTCCAGAGCTAGCGTGGGAAAAGATGCTCGTCGCCGTGGATTATCGCATTGGTGCTAGCGGTAATAATGCGTCTTTGATTGGCGAGCGGGACGAGACAAGGAAATGGCGAGTCGATTGCGGGTTGTCGTTGGGGATGGTGTTGCTGAATGTCGATGATGGACCAAAACGTCAAAGCACCGGTACTCTCGAGCAGGGGTCTTCATCGAGCGTCTGGTCACCACTTTCACACGAACTACTGTTTGACTTCACAGCACTAGACCCATCTGACGACGTGTTCCGTTTTGAAACACTCAATGTAACCTCTATTTGTGGCTTAGTGTTGTGTTGCCTACCATGTGTCGGCTTCTCGCAGCGTCGAGTGACGGCTTGGCAGGTACGTGTCCGCTGCACGATCAAGTGATGGCGCGCTTTTCCGTAGCCCTGCGTGTGATGTCATGCACCAGCCTTTCTCGAACTCTACAGCTGTGGCTGAAGCCTGCGCAATTTCCTTATGATCATCTTGTAGTATTTGGATTTACCTGGATCAAACGCTACTTGAGTAATAATACACCTTCCCCTCGAATAACCGCCGAGCAGTCCGCGAGACAACGCACCTATCCACAAAAGCAAACGATTCCGAGCTGGTTGCCAGAACATCAACCTTGATCGACCCGCTCGAATGCGAAAGACAGACTCTCCGCTGGCTCGGCAGAAGATCCGAAGAGCTACCATCAGAGTCTGAGCAGGGACTCGGAGTCCGCTCAGGTGAAGACGACTGCCAGGAGGACTGTACTTTGCCGCCGGACGCAAGTCCGTGGGCTACGGTACCTTCTATGCACACTGCCGACGCCAAGCATGCCGCGCCTGTGAGTTGCAGGCTCGGGTGGGGTTTGCCCATACTGAAAGCCTGGACATGAACGTCCGGCGTGTCTTCCCGGCCATGGCCATCTGGTTGAGGAGATGAAACGATAGCCAGCTTCGGTGTGCCGCGGACCTTTGCAGCGGCGTCTATATCAGAAGCAAGGCCCATCAAAACGGCGCCAGTACATCGTATTGACTCCATGTCCTCGAGGTAGACGGCGGTGTCTTTGCTCCCTCTCCTTAGATTTGGCGGTAATGTTCGTTCGTCGACTAGGATGAAAGGATTCGCTGCGTCTATCAACGTCGTCTTGACCGAGAAGCGATTGCCGTCTTGTCCTTTCACATGAATAGTATCACACCGTCTCCCCGTAGGAAAGAGAGTTCCGGTCATGCTCCCTGCAGGATCCACAAAGGCCACTTTTACTTCGCTTCCGGTTCCCTTGACGCCTGGTATCGCGAAGTCTCCGTCTTCATCAAACGACCCGTCCTCGTCTATCTGAACGGTATCGACAATGAGCCGCGAAGTGTTCGTATTGAAGATCCGTACATCGAGCTAAAGAAGAATGAGTATCCTATCCGTCTCAATTACAATAGGAGGACTTACCGTCTTCTCTCCGGGACTTGCACGCACTAATCCCTCTTGTAGCGCAAATGGTCCAACACCAGCGCACATGTTTCCACAGTTTCCGCTGAAGTCGACCGCCTCCTGACCCACTGCTACTTGTACAAATGTGTAATCGATATCGACGCCCATTCGTGACGATGGCGAAACAACTGCAACCTTGGAAGTCGTTGAAGTCGCCCCTCCTACTCCGTCAATCTGTCGAGCGTCTGAGCCTTGGGAGCCCATGGCGGCAAGTAATGGGCCAGCCCATGCTGATTGGGAAGATGGCAAGTCGTGACGATGGATGAAGAGACCTTTTGAAGTACCAGCACGCATCAAAACGGCTGGTAGGCTGTGTCGCACTCTTTTCGGGGCGCTTTCGTGTGCCATTGGGAGTTCAGGTATGCGGATCGGCGAGATGTTTGAGACAGTCGAGGCGTGTGCCTTTTGGAGAATGGATGGTTTGAGAATTGTGCGTAGCATCTATAGAGGATGATGCTACGGTTCAAGGTGGTGAAGTTGATGAAGTTTGTGCTTTGTTTCTAGCTTGAAATGTGTCATCATATCGGGCAATGCACTTCTCTATATATGTCTTCGTTCCAAAAATGTTCGGGTAGAAACGACCAGGAGTACGGGCCGCAGTGTATTCGACGGGTAGGCATGAGACTCTTCCCGTTAGCGCGTTAGATGCCGTGGGATCTTGACATGCTGCGGGAAGCCTAGCCGCGGTAAAACCTCGGCTTTCTTCCCGCGGGACTCGATGCCCCACAGAATCCAACGCAGTGACAGGAAGAGGATCCTCTTGTGTGCGCTCGTCTCGTGATGATCCGATGATAATGACAATGACTTTTAATGGTACTTTGGGTGACAGGAAGAGCCTCATGTCGCCATACCCATCTCTTACATGTCCCAATTCATGGTTGGGAATTGATCAAGCTCGGATCCGTTGAAACCGTAAAGGAGGTCATCCACCGAAAATGGTTGCTCGCTGAAGGGTTGTTGTTGGTCCTGATACGCCCAGTTTCCAGAATTTCCGTAGGGCATGTTTGCCGTCTCCATGGTATTGTACGCCGACGACGGCACTCCAGGTACAGCCATGTCGGCGGTAGGGTCTACTGGACCTGGCATATGTGACGAATCCTGCTCTCGGACGAAACTTTGAATGATGCCATCTATATCGAAGCTCTGCAAGCTTGGTTCGCGATCCATCGACCTGCTCAACGAAACGTCTGGAGTGCTCTCGTGATTGTCCTCGCCACCACTGCCGATATGTGTATCGTTCAGGTCAGGCGCAACAACACCCAGTCTCTTCATCAAGTTCTGGATAATGGCATTGGCCCGTCGTACAGCCCAATTTGTCTCTTGGTTCTCGCGGAAAACGGCTAAGCAAGTCTCTAGGCTCTTGTGAGCTTGAGAGCCTGCACCCCGCTTCGCCGCAATACGGGCATGCACAGTGGCAGCGACATAAGTCGCATAGGAAATCAGATAGGGGGCTCTCCGCACACTGAACGTTTTGTCGTATGCTCTCAGGAGCTGTACAATAGCATCCGCCGCAGTGGCGCACGCCATAAACGAGTTCACGGAGATGGCGCGTGATGTATTATAGAGATGCCCGTCTGCGACGAAGGGTCGGTGCAAGAGGATCGTGAGCACATGGTACAAGGCGCTAGTGTTTTCTTAGTACATCCGCGGCGTGTGCAACATTGTGATCACTTACTGTAAGCTTAGGACATGCGGAGGAGGTGTCGCGGCTACTTCTGCTACATCTACCGTGAGGTGTTCGGGCAGAAGCCCTCGCCATGCTATTAGCTTTTGATGGATGCTCTCCAACTTGGACGACAGCTCTGTAGGGCTTACGTCGAAGCTTCTTTCGGTATATATGGTGCTGAGTATATCGCTCAGAATGACCGAGAGATGGCAAAGGTGTCGAAACGTCGAGATACTATATGCCGGAGAGCCTAGATAGACGGCGTCTGGTTGTGTGGAATAGGAAAAGGGCGTCCAGTGTTCGAGTTCTTCGTACGTATCGAGGAATTTGGTGGGTACGAGTGTATCTGTCATGCTCACTGGGCGACCTTGATAGAGGCTTTGGATTTTGTCGACGACTGCGCTTTTAGTTAGTGTAATGATGAGCGATATGAAGACTATACCGACCAAATGCTGCCCAGAAAACGCGACGCCGAATTTCATGATCCTCATCAGAAAGCTTACGGTATCCTGCAAATGCAGGCGTATCGACGTGAAGACCAAGGTCAACTATCATGCGAAATGCCAACCCAGCGTACAACCAGGCAGCGCTACGCTCGTCGCCGAGAGCAAACAACGAGTTGGTCATAACTAGCAACGCTTGAATTGTTGTGATTTCGCTCTTGTCCAAAGCACCGCCCAGGAGCTCTCTCACTCTTTCACGAAATTGCCAACCAGCAGTGCGGACATCATCTGTTACTCGGCGAACCTCATGCCGTGGACTGAACTTGCTTGCGCCGAAGTAGATGGCGTTGAGGAGAAGTTTGGAGAAGTATGGACCGCCACATGCCATATCACGCATGAAGGCTGGGCGATAGGTAGTAAGGAACGAATGGTGTTGCCGGTTCCAATGTAATGATAACAGGTGCATGCCAAGCTCTGGTTCGACACCGTCAAAATCGAGCTTCGTAAGTCGAAAGTTGACCGTCTCAAGTTGTCTCTGACGGGCAGCTTCAGCAACAAGACCTTTTTCTATCCATTCATCCGACATCTGGGGTCGTACTTCAGCCGCATATCGATCATTTGTGCCTTCGTCAAATAAAGTGCTTGTGCGTCCATGGTAGCTAGAGGAGCCATTGGGAGCGACCACAATGCGCGACACGCTTTGAGGTGTAGTTGCAGGGGTCTGTGCAACAGGCGCAGAAGCGGCGATTGATGGTGTTGACTCTGATGTTCTGTCTGATGCTCTTTCGGATGTTCTTTCTGCTCGCGGCGTCTTGCGCGGACGACTGGTAGCATGCTGTGCGTCATCTATGGATATAGGCTCGTAATGGCAAATCGTCTCATGTGTCTTGCAACTTGCGCAGATCGGCTTCTCGGCACTGCATTTGATCTACCAGCCTCAGTATGCAGCTCCTCGACCATGACATGCAGGTGTCGAGCAACGAACCTTCCTCCGTCGGCAGAACGTACATGCCTCGGCAGCCCTTTTGCGCGTGCGGCCTGTCGCCGGCCCATCCGAAGGCATCGCGATATGCGATGACTAGCACGACGGGAATGTTGGAGGGGGATGTTTCCGCCGAAGTTCGAGAGGTGAGTAGGTGGAATCGGAGAGGCCGCGCAGACGCGGTTGCCGACCCCGGATGATCTGCCGCCGGGCGCACCTGCCGCAGGACAGACTACCCGAACTTCTTCGAGCATACCTAGGTAATACAGCTACTTAGAGCACACAACGAGCCATGAGCCTCCGTTGATTAGCCCAACGTGATCGCACGAGTCTTCAAACTTAGCACTGGGGCGTAATGGTAGTACTATTTTCATTCCATCTTCCAGCGAATGTAACTATCCTAATACAATCATACAAGGGACCAACTTCCCACAAACACCATACCTCACAAGAACACCAAAACACCAGGCAGAGTCCGTCTCCAACGTGAAAAGAGTCATACATGAAAAGGGTATCCAGCCAACACCGACAGATGATACCAAGCCCCAAAGAGGGTCGGAGAAACACAGATTGTTGAACTTTTAGGCAGATACAGACACCTCAGGTGGTCCCTGGAACATGGCCTCAGCGGGCGCGTCGGGATCTCCTGTAGGTGCTGCTTGAGCCTGGGATGCCAGCTCGCCACTAGCACCAGTCTCTGCCCATTGTCCCCAAAGGCCACGCTTAGCGCGAATGCGCAGAGGGCCACCAAGCTCGTTAGCTGGCTGTTCAACTTTGATGGCATCCTTGGTCGCCAGTACCAGCATTTCAAAGAACATCTTCGTCGCGTCTGTTCGTGATGTGCGGGCCTCTGGGAAGGCATCCTGGAAAACGATGCTGGTCTTCTGTCGTACCGACTCGCTCTCTTCAGCTTCGGGTCCAAACTGTTCTCGCAAGAAATGGACAGCGTGCTTTGTGCCTAGCGATACGGGCCCGGCCTCGTCGGGATGCACGAGCGGCGCGGTTGTGTCGTCGAAGTTGTCTGGAACGGGCGAGAAGATGTCCTCTTCGTCATCACCAACCTGTTGGAAACCAGGGTCATCGGGAAGTTGAACGATATCGTCGGATCCCGCAAGCGTGGGGTCGTTGTCGCCACCAAGGCCAAGGTCACCGCCTCCCAGAGTTGGCTCATCCTGCTCAAACTCCAGCTGCAATTGTGGCGTCTTCTCTCCTTCGGCCGCGGCCTCGTCTTCGGTAGCGTCATTGTCGGCAATTGCACCACCACGCTTGCGCTTCTGGGCTGGGCGTGAGACAACTTCTAGGGAAAGGATACCTCGAAGCTCTGGAGCCCATCCTTGGCTTCGTCCGTCGCCCAGTATGCTTGAGATAAACCCTCCGGACTTTTGCATGTTCATCAAAGCCATCAGAAGAGGGTCGCGAGGCAGGAACGATGCAGGCTTGAGGATCTTCTCGCGGTTGTTCTGTTGCTCCCTCAACTGGTGACTTGAGATCATAGTTTCGGCATCAGCTGCAATGACCCTCCTGCGCTTGGCGCGGGCTTGATGGATTGATTCTTCCTCCTCCTGCTCTGGCTCTGGCTCAAACACGGTGACGTTCTGTTCGGCAACCTCCTGCTCAAGACGTGTGGCCTCCTCCTCTCCCAACTCTGAGAGCGGTGACTCTTCACGTTGTCGCACAGGGAAGTCGCCGGCGATAGAGCCTGCAGGAAGTTCGGTGTCCATGTCCATACCGCCCATAGTAATATCCAGGTCATCGTCCAAATTGAGTTCATGGCCGCGTGCGAGTTCAGTGGGAGGATCTTCGCCAAGGTCGATGCCGAGATCATCGTCATCCACTATCATGTCTTTGCCTAGCCCGGTAAACTCTTCGGACCGGCGGCGTTCCAAAGGTGCGTTACGACCAACTTCAATGCTGGTACCCTCGTCGTAGGCGGCTGTCGGCTCCAAGTCATCATCCTCTCCAATGTCCAGGTTCAGGTCGTCATCCGGCAATTCCATGGGCTCTCCGCGCGCCTGCTCAATGCTGCCGGAAAGGAACTGGCTGTTGTCCCAATCGGGGACTGTGGTGTTGCCGAGGTTGAGGCTGCCGCTAAGAGGCTGGGAGAGAAGGAAAGAAGGGTCGGGCATGGGAGCCAACAGATCAAGATCGGTGATCTGATCCTGTAGCATGAGATTTGTGGGATTGGCGACGTGAGTCTGGGCGGGCGCATCGATGTTTCCGGGGCGGAAGGCCTGCACAAGGGTCAGAGGTGGTCATGTCACGCAGTCAAGCTTGGAACCTACCATCCTGATCTTCCATAGGGCTTCCTGACAGTCATCCTGTAGATAGTTGACCTTCTTGTTGTAGATGCGAACCTCACCGAGGAGCAACTGCGCGTTCAACCGCAATGCAAGCGGACCGCCAGCGGCCACCTCGGGTCGGATGATGACCTCGCAACTCTCTGGGATCTTGTGCTGCAGCACCTGGGCCTTGGTGAGCTTCTTCTGTTGATTCGAGGCAAGCCAGACGTGCGCAAGCGCGCCCTGCTTGAATAGGAGGTCCTCTGGAAGAAACATGGTGGTGGTTGGGTAGATCGGTTTGTGGGCGGGGTGGTGGAGGAGTCGCGCTGTTGTTTACGTCGACGCGTCGCGGCCAAGTCGATGCGCGTGGCGTGAAAGCGCGCCGACAATGTCAAAATTGGAGCCCCGAAGTGCGCGCAGATGCAGCAATGGCAGTGATGGTCAAAAATGGTTGAGCGACGATGGTGCTGCGGATGCGCTCGGTCGTGTAAGGATGAATGAGGCTGGTTAGGGCTGGCTGGGATTAGATGGCAAACACGACAGCCCTCGCTTAGTCATAGGCCTGTCGCAAGACCAAGCCCAACTTCACCTTCCACGCACGTCATCTTCCATTCCATGCTGCCCAGGTACTTTCACGATACAACAAGTTGCTACATACTTCGGTAGATGATGGACACACATATTCTGGCCTTGTACACATTAGAGGCAACAACTTTTCATGCAACTTGGACAATTGACTCAGTCAACTGTTTCATTACGCAGACTTGACTTCATATGGAAGCCTCAGCAACTACTAGGTACCTCAGATCCGCCGACTCCACCTCCATCCTGGACTGCTCGCTTCCACATATTTCACATCGACCTTCCTCCCTCTGGCGGCAAACCCCTCCCTAAGCCACACCACCAACCGCTCGATCAACGGCGCACAGTCCACCAAAACGTTCTGCATACCGTGCCGATCACTTACCCTGATCCTAGGCCAAGCCTCGATCGTCAACGTCTGCAAACTTTCTATCTCCAGGAGATCTGCCAACTGGTAAATCGCAACGACATCTTCTAGCTCTCTGATGCGCGTTTGATCGAACGTCCATAGATCAAAGGTCCCTAGCGTTGTAGGAGGGATAACAACATCCTCAGCCCAATTACATGAGTCAATA